CTATCCACATACTTCTGTCTCAGGTACTTTGAATCAACTTTGGCACAAATGATCCTCGATGCCATGATGTCAAACTGCCCAGCATCTGTTCTCTCAGTCTCCCTCTGCCTCTCCTCCCCTCCAACTTTTCTACTGTCAGTATGTACTCCAGTTTTCTCTTTCTCATCACATGACCAAAGAATGTAGACTTGTCTCTTTCAGATGTGGGCAATCAGTTCTCTTCTCAAGTTAGTTTCTTTCAAGACATCTTCATTACTCTTTTTAACCTGTCCATGGTAATCTCATCCTTCATCTACAAAACCACACCTCCGCAGCTTCCAATTAGGTTTTCACTAGTTGACCAAATCTCTCGTGATTCATTTCCCTATATCAAGATAGGATTTATATAGCTTTTAAGATTTCTCGTTTTCATCTCAAATGACAAAGAAAGATTACATAAAACGTTCTTTATTTCCTAAAATGCTCCTCGAGACTGTCAATTACACAATGTAGACACAATGAATTTAACTTGTCAATTACACAATGTAGACACAATGAATTTAACTTGTCAATTACACAATGTAGACGCAATGAATTCAACTTGTCAATTACACAATGTAGACACATTGAATTTAACTTGTCAATTACACAATGTAGACACAATGAATTCAACTTGTCAATTACACAATGTAAACAACAAATTTAACTTGTCAATTACACAATGTAGACACAATGAATTTAACTTGTCAATTACACAATGTAGACACAATGAATTCAACTTGTCAATTACACAATGTAGACACATTGAATTTAACTTGTCAATTACACAATGTAGACACAATGAATTCAACTTGTCAATTACACAATGCAGACACAACGAATTTAACTTGTCAATTACACAATGGAGACACAATGAATTTAACTTGTCAATTACACAATGCAGACACAACAAATTTAACTTGTCAATTACACAATGCAGACACAATGAATTTAACTTGTCAATTACACAATGCAGACACAACGAATTTAACTTGCAATTACACAATGCAGACACAATGAATTTAATTGTCAATTACACAATGCAGACACAACGAATTTAACTTGTCAATTACACAATGCAGACACAATGAATTTAACTTGTCAATTACACAATGTAGACACAATGAATTTAACTTGTCAATTACAGTGCTCTTCCCACTAAGTTAAAAAATATGTGTTTCTCCGTGTTGGCAAACGCTGATCAATAATTCCCTCTCACCCCCAAAAATTTTTTTAACGAAACTCGGGGCTGAGGAGATTAAATTTTTTGAGAAAAATGTGGAGATCCAGCATCATCATCTTAAACTATCCAGAGATTCAGGTCAACATCAATCCTGGCCCACACAGGGCTGCAGGTTGTGCCAGGCTGGTGCGGTTGTTACAGGTGTCCTAATGAAAACTTTCTTGGATGTTAAGAGGGTATATGGGCTTGCCCTGTTGGGTGGCCACAAGCACCAACATTTTTCTCATGGTGTCAAACCTTCAGGTCCTGGCCAACCAGACTGAGATCCTCTGATCTCAGGGTGTCAAACCTTCAGGTCCTGTTGGTTTGCCAAAAAGACAAGATCTTCGGATCTCAGGGTGTCAAACCTTCAGGGCCTATTGGTTTACCAACCAGAGATCTTCTGATCTCAGGGTGTCAAACCTTCAGGTCCTGTTGGTCTGCAAGCCAGACTGAGATCTTCGGATCTCAGGGTGTCAAACATTCAGGTCCTGTTGGTTTGTCAGCCAGACTGAGATCCTCTGATCTCAGGGTGTCAAACCTTCAGGTCCTGTTGGTCTGTCAGCCAGACTGAGATCTTTTGATCTCAGGATGTCAAACCTTCAGGTCCTGTTGGTCTGCCAGCCAGACTTAGATCTTTTGATCTCAGGGTGTCAAACCTTCAGGTCCTGGCCAGCCAGACTGAGATCTTCTTATCTCAGGGTGTCAAACCTTCAGGTCCAGGTGGTTTGCCAACCAGACTGAGATCTTCTTATCTCAGGGTGTCAAACTTGTCAGGTAGCAGCCCAGAGAGAATAAACAGCATGCACAGAGCCAGGTATATGTTCCTATCCCAGTTGCACTTTATCAGGAAAACATCCATTAGATAGTAGAAGCAATTAATATATCAATTTCACACACGTTAACATAGGTTCCGGGCCTGTATTGTGGAGAATAAAGAATAGACACACCCCCCTGCTAACAAGCATAGCATAATTAAAGTCCGGAGTGCGTCTGTCTGAGAGGCAAGGAACCAAAAATCTGCATACAAAAAAAGCCAGATCTGTAAAATGGATGTGCACTTAAAACTCAAGTTCTTAAGACCAAAATCCACAAGTGGATGAACAACCACAGCTTTTCACTAGAGTTAAAAGTCGGTTAACACTAAGAAGAAGAAATTAAAGAAGAAGAGATATGTTAAATTAAAATCTCCATGGTAAAACAAACAACGAAATAAACCAGGAATGAAAGAACAGAGAATATGAAGTTCGATAGTGGATTAAAAAAAACAGACCAGACAAATGAATTTAAAGCAAATTCTTCGTCATCCAAAGATCTCGTTACCAGCCAAACAACGGATGATCAACAGCATTTTCATCCCTACGTTATGTTATCAGTGCCAAACGTTGACAATGAACAAATCACATATGCAAAAAATAACTACGTGTGAAATGCGATTTCTCCGAAAAGTCACCAACAATACAAGAAGAGACAGAGTCACAAACGTCAGCATTAGAGACAAAGTTGGAACAAGAGCATGCATGGAACATATTGAAAGACAGAGAATGAAGTGGTTTGGTCATTTAGTAAGAATGCAACCGGATCAGATTGCCTATAAGGCCTTTTACAATAGAATATCGGGAAGAAAGGCCAGAGGAAGACCCAGGAAAAAATGGATAGATGGAGTAGCTGAATACGGCCAGAAGATCCAGAAAACTGTCACTCAAATCACGCGAGAGGCACAAAACAAATATTTTAAACCACGACACTGGGCTGCAACCCGGTAAAAGTGAAGAAGACAATAGATAGATAGATAGATAGACGATTTTCACGCCGGTGGAACATTGGGCATATAGTAACAGAACGCAATTTTTTTAGACCAATCAGCGTTCAATAAATGATGTGGTTAGCATTGTACCAGCCGCCTTTACTTGCCAGGGCATTACCTGATACCAATTTTAGTTGTGCTGACTTGGCAAACGAGGTCAGTTTTGAATTAAACTTAAAAAATCTGCCTTGATTTTAACCCTAAATTTTTGGGCCACAGGTATAAGTCTAACTACTATGCTGGCACTAGATAATGGTTTTAATACAAGAATTTATCAACAACAAGCACAACTAGAATGCAGAGCTACAAAAAACAAACAAAAAAACCACACACACACACAAACCAGAAAAAGGTAGCCCCAGTAACAAATAGCAAAGTAAGTTCACGAAATGAAAGACAAATCACATAGGAATAGGCCCTCAGACCCCCAACAAGCAAATTGTAATTATTTAAATGAATATGAAAGCACGCTAAGATCAAGAAATGAAACACAGTTCATAGACTGTATACACACCAACACACTTACACACACACACATAAAACAAAAAACACACACACTCAAAAGTACACTCCCCGAGTGGGTTCTGGAGCCTTATATTGGGTGGGGTGGGGATTTGATCCACTGCCCCCAAATAAAAATGCTGTAAACAGTGACTAGGAGTCTGGTCAAATCGAAGGTAGTAGATAAAAAAGAAAAGATATCACAGCCTAGTTTAAACTATAACACAATGTGCAAAACAAGCTTTTAAAGGTAAATCAGAAAAGAAAAAGAAGGAAAAAAGCAGAAGAGGAGAAGGATATATAACAGATAACATTTTTGTCTCCCAAACCTGGTATTGTTTTTTGATATGGTATGAGAAATGCCATTTTAGAAGGGGAAAAAAAATAAAGAAATATTCTGGCCACATTAAAAGAGACAACAATCATTAAAACCCCACTAGAAGTTAAAAAATGAAAGCAAGCAAGCAAGCAAGAGATAGACAGCGATACAAGTAGATGGATAACATTAAGAGATGGCTCTACAAGGGCTTACAATCAGGAAAGAAGTCAGAGAATCCTGGAGGTCTATTGAGACAACCTTCAGTGTGGAGACGGCATCTGACTGATTGATGTGATTTTCGAGTACTATACTGTTTTATTCCAGTTCTGTTGCTAAACAGGTTATTTTAGTTTTGGAGATAAACGGTTATTTTAGTTTTGTTGCTAAACAGGTTATTTTCATTTTGTTGCTAAATAGGTTTTTTCAGATTTTTTGGCCATCCCATAACCATTTGTGACCTACTTATTGACTTCCCCTCGTGTTGTTTTATTTCAGTTTTGTTGCTAAACATTTTATTTTAGTTTTGTTGGCTAACAGGTTATTTTAGTTTTGTTGCTAAACATAATTTTTTTTCTAGCTTTGTTGCTAAACAAGTTATTTTGTTTGCTAACAAGGTTATTTTAGCTTCATTTGCTAAACAGATTATTTTAGTTTTGTTGTTGTTGCTAAACTGGTGATTTCAGTTTTGTCGTTAAACAGGTCATCATAGTTTTGTTGCTAAACAGGCTATTTTTAGTTTAGTTGCTAAACAATTATTTTGGTTTCGTTGCTAAACAGTCTGTAACCTGGGTTTGAGGCTCAGTAAGTGATGAAAGGTTCTTCTGTCGGGGGGGAACAAAGTAGAAACCCTAACCTGCAGTTTTTGGGGACTACACCAGCCATAGGGTCCTAATCCTCAGGCTCATAACCCCCTTTCTCCAGCCTATAGTGGTAAACACAGGCAGTACAAACATGTATTAGAACTTCAACTGGCCAGACATGTGCATTTCTTTCAGAGATACCACAGTTAAGTGATCTGCATATTCTTGTTTGTAAATGGAACACTGTCCTTTCATGTAATGTGACACCCAACTGCTGACACCAATTAGCATACAACAAGGCAAGAAAAAAGAAGATGTATAAATCTGCCTCACCTTCCGAGCTGCTTCTGCAGGTCCGTCATATACTGCTGGCCCTGGGCGAAGAACGTCAACTGTGCTTCAATGAAGTCATTCAAACAACGAAGATGATGGGCCTGGCAAAGCAAACAAACCAAATGGATGTGAAACTTGTGGTAGAAAGGTCACATTATAAGTCCTTATTTTTCTGCCTTATTTGTCATGAATTGCAATACTGGTCCCTGTATAGGTTTCAGGTCTCCAGTTTGGGCTGTGGGGAGGAGGGATCGAGCCAGTGTCTTCTAGCAAGCAGGTTCTAAAAGGTGATGGTTGAAATATTATGTGTTGGGTAAAAAAATGCAGACACAACCTCACTATGCTTAACTGTCCTGTTAAGTGCAAATGTAAAATTAAAAAAGAAGAGAAGGAAGAAGAAGCAGAAGTAGAAGAAAGAATACAGGCATATGTGCTTCTGTGTCTTTATTTAGAAAAAATTGAAACTATGGAAAAACCATGGGGATGTGCTACACACTGACAGGAGAGATCTTCAATGGTTTCAACTGATGCATGGGCAGTATAGGGTCCAGCACTGTCATGTTGCAAAAGGACACCTTTACTCAGAAGTCGTCTGGTAGGATCTGATTGCGTTTTGAAGAGGGTTCCTCTATAATGACATAAAGATGTGTTCAAGCGGAACATGAATGAAACAGGTAATGAGGTAAATTCATGAGAACAAATGCCAGGAACCCTGTATGGAGAAAAAATTCAGGATGAGAATCAGGATTTAAAAAAAATAAAGATAGTTTAAGAGCTGAAAAAACATGTTAAACCCTGCGATGGCAGCAACAGTCCTGAAATGCGGTGCTCCTATTAACACCAGTAATGCATACAACAAGACAAGACATCTATCTACCATTGTAGCAATTACCAGTCAGTGCTACAGACTTACGTGGGTGCTGTTGATGCCGTCCAGCAAGATTTTAGTAATTTCTGCCTGACGGTCGAACTCCGACTGCGCCACTCGTAGGTCAGCTTCAGCCTGGTGAGGGGAAAAAAATGTTAATTTATTTGAGAGTGTCTGAGGTTTATAAGCTAGTGTAGGAGGTTCACTTGTCAGGGGGGGGGGGGGGGGGGGGGGGGTTCACTTGTCAGAGGGGGAGGTTTACTTGTCAGTACAGGTGGTTCACCTGTCAGTGCAAGAGGTTCACTTGTCATAGTAAGAGGTTCAACAATTAGTGTAGGTGGTCCATTTGTCAGTTCAGGAGCTTCGATTGTCATGGTAAGATGTTCACTTGGCAGTGCAGGAGGTTCACATGTCAGTGTAACAGGTGCATTTGTCAGCGTAAGAGGTGCATTTAGTGCAGGAGGTTCGCTTGTCAAAATAAGTTCAGTTGCCAGCAATACTGAATCAATTTGCTGTGTAGTAGATTCCATTATCAGCGTTTACAGCACACATTAAAGTCCTTTTTTTGTATATTTAATTGACAAGGTTCAGCAAATCTTACGATTGAAGGGCAACAATAAATTATCTTTATATATAAGGATACAGAATTCCTATTTTTAACATCCAATAACGACAAGTGGTCCCTATTCGTAAACTACATACGGGACCTTGATCAATGTTCAATCATGGATACCAAATGGATCCAGAAAAGCGATCACGGTCTGACTAAGATAGAGAAAAGAAATCCCTCTCAAAATCTGCCTTAATTAGCAGTACAAAGCAACTAATCCTCATTAATTAAAAACAAAAACTGTACATAATTCCTATTAGTAAAAGAGAATAAATCCAATCCTCAATTGTGAAGGAGAAGTAGAAGAAACGAGAACAAGAAGGACAGGGTCAAATAACAAGACAACTTATGAATATTTATTAATGAATCTATTTCTACATAAAAATAACATTTTTTTACGCCAGTGGCAAACCTATTTTTACTCCAGTGCCAGAGCCATTTTTACTCCAGTTGTGCATCGGGTATATGATGTCTGCTAGACTCATATTTATACGCTAAGTGGCACTCAGTGGGTGAAGACTCATATTTATACGCTAAGTGGCACTCAGTGGGTGAAGACTCAAATTTATACGCTAAGTGGCACTTATTGGGGGAAGACTCATATTTATACGCAAAGTGGCACTCAGTGGGTGAAGACTCAAATTTATACGCTAAGTGGTACTCAGTGGGTGAAGACTCATATTTATACGCTAAGTGGCACTCAGTGGGTGAAGACTCATATTTATATGCTAAGTGGCACTCAGTGGGTGATAAGTCAACATAATGTTGACCACCTTTACTTCCCATGGCATCACCTGGTACCCATTTTGGCTAGGTCAACCTGAGAGCCAAGGTCAATTTGAATGTAAATCTTTCGAAAAGTGGATTTGAGCCAAAATTGCTACCGCAATTCCCCAATTTCTACGTAGTCAAGACAAATATTTCACTTTGGTCTTTTTCTTAGCGTTCACCAGCAGTAAACACCAGCGGAAAGTTCTGGCTGTTCATCCACTTCTGGACTTTAGTCCTGCTCCAGAAATTGCGTGCATATCAGTTTTAGAGATCTGCTTTTTTACATGTAGATTGTTGCTTCCTCTTCTCTTCGGTGGAATCATAAGTCTAACCTCTATTGTTTACCCGGTCAGACAAACATATTTTGCAAGGCGGTCACATGCTTCATTAACCGCAAGTAGGACACAAGAGCAGGTACACTTGCCTACTGGCCTCAAGGTTAAAGGTTAAACTCACAATTTCCCCCTGGGGGATCTGGAGCCATGGGGGTGGGGAGGGGGGGGGGGGGGGGGGGGGAGATAGACCAATTGCCCTCCTAACAAACATTTTGTAAAATGTTGACAAATTAGGGGTGTTTCCTTTGAAGTTGTGAACCAACAGTCTGTATACAAACAGTCAGATCTGTAAAATGCATGTGCATGCAAAACTCAAGTTGTGGAGCAAGACAAAAAAAAGTCCAGAAGTGGACTGCCTCTCAGACAGATACATTCCGACAAACAAAAAAAAAAAAAAATAAAGAAGATATTATTATAAAGTTTTCTCAATGCATGTCCTATCCAGTGCCAGCAATCTTTTGTCTAGTATTTTATTTTAACATGAATACAGCCGAGCCATTTTATAATAATACGGTCCTCAAACAAGACGAGGATGAAGACCTAGAATAAATGAAGTCATTACATGCAACATCTCAATTCCAGTACCTGCTTCGAGAATCTGCTACTAATTTCTGTTATAAAGAATCACCAAACATATCCCACCTTAACCGCACAAAGTGGCTTGCAGTAAATTGAGGGTTAACAGATATAATCCCCATTATACAATGACAAAGTAGCAAACACTGCATGCACAAAAGACACCAAAATACATGTGAATACAATTAATGATGACAAAAATATCCAGCCAGCAAGTCAGAAACTGGAGTGGATATTGCAACCTGTGTGCATAAATATGAGTACACATACTTTGACAGCCAATACGTCATAGACTATTTGGGTAATATAAAGCATCTGAGAGTCAGCTAAGCTCATTTTAAATCATTAAACATTACAGGTATTCCCTCAAAAATTGCAGCCACTAATAATCGGGTTCCTTCAGATTTTGGCACGGATTTCGGAGTACATTTGTAAATTAAATTTCTGAGTATCCTTTTTTTTCTTTTTCACATTAAAATTCTGGGGAACTTTTTCTTCATCCTCTTGTGTTCACCAGATTAAAATAAATTATAACAAGTTCTTCAGTACAACTATTAAAAAGTCTGAGGTCAGTGGTAGATCTTAAAAAATAACAGCAATCAGTGGTTCTTAGCTGACTGACTGTCCTTAGAATATAAAGATAATATTTTCTTCTTAAAGTCCATGCCGTGTGGCGTTGGTAGTCATGTCTATTCACAACCTTCTGTCTCGTGTACTTTTAATCAACTCTGACACAGATGATCCTCCATGCCATGACATCAAACATCTGTTCTCTCTCCCTCTGCCTCTCCTCCCTTCCAACTTTCCTACCGTCGCGATGTACTCCAGTTTTCTCCTTCTCATCACATGACCAAAGAACTTAGATTGTCTCTTTCTGATGTGGGAAATCAGTTCTCTTCGGGAGACAGTTTCTTTCAAGAAGTCTTCACAACTCATTTTTTTCTTTCTGAACAGGAAAGGTCATATATATCACACAAATCGAATATTCTGACTTCTTCACCTTCTTCGCACTCCCCAGCTGTTAACTCTGGGGGAAAGTTCTGGTTGTTCATCCACTTCTGGGCTTGTCCTGTTTTAGAACTTAAGTTCTGCACAACTTTTGTTTACAGATCTGGCATATTTGTGTGCAGACTATTAGTTCCTCGCTTTCAGGCAGGTGACTATGAAGGACACACACCTAACTAGTCAACTTTAACAACTTGCTGGTTGCAGGGGAGGAGTCAGTGGGGCTATTCTTTTATTTTAAATTAAATACCTCACCAGCTCTCTGGATAGTTCCTCAATCAACAATGGGTGGCAGTAACAACTTTAAAGGTCCCAGCTATGCTGCTTTAAAATCTTCAGTTTATTGGTCGGCACTCATAGAACGAAGTTATCTTTCTACTTCTTTTTATGAGTGCCGATCAATACATTGTTTCTTTGTTAATTTATATATATATATAATATTTCTACAGCTTCAAAGGTTCCCCCTCTGTTTATTTATTTAAATCTTCTGGACTTCCTTCAGCTTTCTCCTCATCACGTCATAATTCATAAGAAAAGAGCCTGCCTCATATTGGTTGGCTAGTTACTATGTGTTCTATCATTTACATTGTTTACAACTGGTTCAATATTGTGGTTATGGTGTTTTAAAGGATGAGGCAGCCAACCCCTAGAATAAACCTACCCTTATTTACCCCTTATGATATGCTGTGGTCTGTTATTCCTATGCTTGCCTGAAGCACAATGGACCACTTTCCTCTAGAAACATGCAAATGTGCCAACTTGCCTCCCCTAAGGACAAAAGTAGGTGTAAATGCCTTTTGCCCTTTAACCCCTTGTGAAACACTGACAAAAACTGACTCAGAGTCTACTCCTACTGATGGACAAGGGGGTGCAGCCTGGAGCAGCAAGAAATGAACATTTCACTAAGGGACAAGACTTTTCAATAACCAACACAGAACACGCATCATCAGTTGTTTTAACTCGTCAAACTTTTGAGGAGGTGATCAGAGCACCTGTGGATCAGTCCGGAGTGCTGTGATGATAATCATTTTTAATCATTAATCACTCAGAGTCTACTCCTAACCATTTCCCATCATGTTTTTCTCTCCTTTTCACCCAACTCTCTAATTTCCTATTAAAAATATCCTGTTATAAAGTTATAAAAATAAAAAAGGGACATACTGATCATCAAAGTATGTACACATTCATCAAATCAACATGTATGCTCAGCCAAAACACATCCCCTAAACATTCTCTTAGTGCCAGTGCCAAGCAAAAAGAAACAGCCCAAACAATATGAAACACCACAAAGTGCACACTTACTTTAGCCAGTTCATCCTGGGGGAGCGTTAGAAAATACCAGACAAAAGTATCAATAAAATAACAATGTTAATTATTACTTTTTTTAAGTGCTGCAGTTTTTTAAAGTGCTGCAGTTTTGTGTGTGTGTGCTGCAAACATTATCAATAATAAAAGCTTGCACTTATTTTAAAAAAAAAATTGGTAATAATTTAAACCATATAAGTTGTAGGAAGACAGACACAGCTCTTACTTCACCTAAAAATAAACATTTAAGAGAAACAGCGGAACACGTAGACTTTGATCGTGCAGAGAAAATGTGAACATACGGTAACATAATGGTGGCTTACTCAATTATCAAAACATGTGGTGCCCACAAACGAAAAAAAAATGGTTAATGGAAAAAGAGACAAGTTTTTTTAAAATTAATAAATAAAAAAAGAAAAGGGAATAAATATGTCAAATCACACAGAAGAAATGCATTTAATATGATGACAAACTAGATGCAGGAGAGGGAAAGTATAAAACTAAAAGTAAACAAATGTACACTTTATAAAAAT